TGGAAAGTAAAAAACGATCAGACCGAGATCGGAACATAATGCGCAGAAAATCAAAAAGATAAGAGAAAAGGGGGAGCAAAAAAACCCAAATTGAATTTAAATCTACTAAAACCTCGAAAAATTGTGAAAAAAGGAAAACCCTACAGTGACCAACATATAGCGGAAGGACTCACCCTCTCCTTCAACAACTCCTGAGTTTGTTGCTCGACTAATACTAGCCAAAAGAGCATCAGTGTTTGTGTTGCCAGTTGACGCAAGCGCATCATCGATATGTCGCTTACGTGAGCTAGTGCCGATAGGGAAAGATACATCGGCAGGAGAGGTATGAGAACGGTCAAGACAGGGTGGTTTCTAAATAAGAGAAGAAAATTCATTATTTTTTGTAGCATGAGCTGCACTGAACAAAGATAAAACCAGACTGGAAAAGCCAGAAAAAACAGAACTTTGCAACGTCATACGTACCACTTCATGTGCTTTGATTGCCGCAGCGAAGTGATTGACGGCTGCAGCAGCTGGTGGCGATATCGTCGACGACGACGACATTCTCCCGCTTCCGTGATGATTATTTGCTCGTCTCGCCATCGCATGTGATAATGCGCGATCCATCATAATTTGCAGTGATCGCTTTGCAGTCACGTTATCCACATAGATGAACTAAAGTACCACAAGAGTTCAAGAAAAAACTACGAAAAAATGAATGCGATAATTTTTTGCAAAGACATATTTAAAGGCGATCAAAAAATAGCATAGAAGGCATAAAAGGCTTATTGTGATCATATTCTAATTGATTCAAATAAATGCGCTAACAGAAGAGAACAATGACACTAGTCAAATCACAAGAAAAAGCAACACGAAAAAAATAGAAACGAAACTTGAAGTGAAGTATTTACCTTGTTCATATTTTTTCGATGTGAAGAATGTAGATGTTCCCTCATCTCTGCATCAGATGCCCTTTCCGATAAACAGATGGGGCATTGGAATGGCAACCAGTTCAGATGCTCTCGTTTCAAGTGGACCTGAAATGGAAGTGAATTGAGAGAAAAAAGGCAATGGTTATGAACCTTCCTCATATTTTTATCACTCTCAAAACTATTTACAGCGCAGAGAGATCAAATAAATGGGAAACATGCTCAAAAATCAGATATTCAGGGAAAAAGAAAGGAAATATTGCCCTTTTGGTGGTTGAAAAATGCAGATTCTGAATTCATTTCTAGCAAAAAAATGCGCAAAATATTCAGAAAAAGATGCTTTTAGGGGTATGGAGAAGACTTGCAGATTTTGAATTCATTTCTAATGGGAAAAATGGGTAAAATATTCATAAAAAGGAGTGCTTAAGGGAATTTGGAGAAAAACTGCAGATTTTAGAATTCTAAAAAATATGCTTTTGGCGGTATGGAAAAAATTGCATATTCTGTAAATACTCCATATTCATGGTTTGGTTTGAAAAAAGCGCAGGAGAAGGACGTGAAAATAAAAGACTGAATCGAGCAGTCCAGCTCGGTTACTATTTTCGCAACCATACTCATCTACTAACGATTGCACGTTATTAAGAAAATCAAGAAAAGAAAGTTGTTAGAAAAAATTTGCTCACCTCCATATCTTCACTATTGTTTTTGTTGATGCCGCATTCCAGGCAAGTCAAATGCATCATAGGTGTATTGTTCGATATGCTAAGCACTTGATCGCCCCATGGTG